AACACATACATATGGAATTTAGAAAGATGGTAATGATAACCCTATATGCAGAAAAACAGAAAAAGAGACACAGATGTACAGAACAGAGTTTTGGACTCTGTGGGAGAAGGCGAGGGTGGGATGTTTCGAGAGAACAGCATGTATATTATCTATAGTGAAACAGGTCACCAGCCCATGTGGGATGCATGAGACAAGTGCTCGGGCCTGGTGCACTGGGAAGACCCAGAGGAATCGGGTGGAGAGGGAGGTGGGAGGGGGGATTGGGATGGGGAATATATGTAACTCCATGGCTGATTCATGTCAATGTATGACAAAACCCACTGCAATGTTGTGAAGTAATTAGCCTCCAACTAATAAAAATAAATGAAAAAAAAATGGTGCTGGGAAAACCAGACAACCACATGGAAAGAATGAAACTAGACTATTATGCTATACCACACACAAAAGTTAGCTTAAAATGGATTAAAGACTTGAAGGCAAGACCTGAAATAGTAAAACTCCCATAAGAAAAAATAGGCAATAAACTCCTTGATATCTGTCTTGGTGATGATTTTTTTGATTTGACACCAAAAGTAAAGGCAACATAAATAAACAAATGAGGCAATATCAAACCAAAAAGATTCTGCACGAAAAGGAAACCATCAACAAAATGAGAAGGCAACCTACTGAATGGCAAGTAATTTATATAATAAGGGGTTAATACAGAAAATAAACTCATACAACTCAATAGCAAAAAACAATTTTATTTAAAAATGGGCAGAGTATCTGAATTTACAGTTTTCCAAAGACATACAGATGACCAATAGGTACATGAAAAGGTGCTCAACATCTCTAATACTTAGGGAAATGCAAGTCAAAATCACAATGAGATATCACCTTGCACCTGTTAGAATGGCTATTATCAGAAAGCCAAGAAATAACATTTTCTTGGGAACCAAGAACCATACCATACCAAGGGAACATTTCATGCAAAGATGGGCACAATAAAGGACAGAAACAGTATGGACCTAACAGAAGCATAAGGGATTAAGAAGAGATGGCAAGAATACACAGAAGAACTGTACCAAAAAGGTCTTAAAGACCCAGATAGCCATGATGGTATATCACTCACCTAGAGCCAGAGATCCTGAAGTGTGAAGTCAAATGGGCCTTAGGAAGTACTACTAGGAACAAAGCTAATGGAGGTGATGGAATTCAAGCTGAGCTAGTTCAAATCCTAAAAAATGATGCTGTGAAAGTGTTGCACTCAATATGCCAGCAAATTTGGAAAACTCAGCAGTGGCCAGGACTGGAAAAGGTCAGTTTTCATTCCAATCCCAAAGAAAGGCAATGCCAAAGAATGTTCAAACTATGACACAATTTCACATGCTAGCAAAGTAATGCTCAAAATCCTTCAACCTAGGCTTCAACAGTACGTGAACTGAGAACTTCCAGATGTAGAAGCTGGATTTAGAAAAGGGAGAAGAACCAGAGATCAAATTGCCAATATCTGCTGGATCATAGAAAAAGCAAGGGAATTCCAAAAAACACCATCTATTTCTGCTTCACTGACTACACTAAAGCCTTTGACTGTGTGGATCACAATAAACTGTGGAATATTCTTAAGAGATAGGAATACCAGACCACCTTATCTGCCTCCTGAGAAACCTGTATGCAGGTCAAGAAGCAACAGTTAGAACCAGACATGGAACAACAGACTGGTTCAAAATTGGTAATGGAGTACATCAAGGCTGTATATTGCCACCCTGCTTATTTAACTTACATGCAGAGTACATCATGAGAAATGCCAGGTTGGATGAAGCACAAGCTGGACAGAAAATTACAGGGAGAAATATCAATAACCTCAGATATGCAGATGATACCACCCTAATGGCAGAAAGTGAAGAGGAACTAAAGAGCCTCTTGATGAACGTGAAAGAAGAGAGTGAAAAGCTGGCTTAAAACTCAACATTCAGAAAAACAAAGATCATGGCATCCAGTCCCATCACTTCACGCCAAATAGGTGGGGAAAAATTGGAAACAGTGACAGACTTTATTTTCTTGGGCGCCAAAATCACTGTGGACACTGACTGCAGCCATGAAATTAAAAGACACCTGCTCCTTGGAAGAAAAGCTGTGACAAAACTAGACAGTGTATTAAAAAGTGGAGACCTCACTTTGCCAACAAAGGTCCATATAGTCCAAGCTAGGTCCATATAGTCCAAGCTATGGTCTCCCCAGCAGTCATGTAGGGACATGAGAGTTGGACCCTAAAGAAGGCTGAGCGCCAAAAAATTGATGCTTTCGAACTGCAGTGCTAGAGAAAATTCTTGAGAGTCCATTGGACTGCAAGGAGATCAAACCAGTCAATCCTTAAGGAAATCAACCCTGAATATTCATCGGAAAGACTGATGCTGAAGCTGAAGCTCCAATACTTTGGCCACCTGATGCAAAGAACCAACTCATTAGAAAAGACCCTGATGCAGGGAAGATTGAAAGGAGGAGGGAAAGGAGATGACAGAGGAGATGGTTGGATGGCATCACCGACTTGACGGACATGAGTTTGAGCAAGCTCCGGGAGAGATAGCGAAGGACAGGGAAGTCTGGTATGCTGCAGTGCCGGGAGCCAGCACAGGAGATCCTACCCATGACAAGGTTATGAGGAGGAGGCCTGGCAAGCAAGGCAGATTAGGACTTCAGGAATTTCGAAAAGCTGCCCCGGCACTCACCTTAAAGATGATCTCTGTCTTTCTGATGCTTGCTGTATTAGACTACTCTCTAATTTCTGTGACACAGGGAGAAGGCCTTCCCCATTTCTCTCCAAACAGAATCAACCTAGAACTTTAATCAGCATGTCCTCCGGACAGCGGTATCATATAAGATTATCCAGGATGAAAGGAGTGTTTCAATTTAGACCCCTTTGCTGGCATTCTAGCCTGCTTGGCAAATGCGTATTAATGTACATGACTGCTCACAACACCTTAATCATGAACAGCATAAAGAACCTGATCTCACTAAAGGCCCTAATAGGCACAGAGCCCTTTGGGGAGTGAGGAAGCCTTATTAAAGAACACAAAAATATTATTTTAAAAGTGGTTAGAATTGTTCATTTTAACCAGGAATGCTAAACAGGGGCTGCCTCACCGGAGCTGCAGAGTCTTTTTGCTGTAAACATTTTAGATAAATTCAACTAATAACTTCTGCAAAAGGACTAACCTTTGTGTTCATTAAAGAATAGATTACAGGAAAACAGCTTTGCATTCACCTAGGTCATAAAATGTCAATAGGCCCCGAGGCCAGAAGATAATGTATAAGACACTCATTCTCTCTCCCTCGCAGACTTGGCCCTATCAAGGCTGGTCTCACATCTCTCGCCGACGCCGTTCATCCTGAGGGTACCCCTGGATCCTGCTGAGGCTGGACCCCAGCACTGCAGTCCATGGGGTTGCCAAGAATCAGACATAACTGAGCAACTTAACAACAACAAGATATAGAGAGCAAAGATGATACCAAAAAATAACAGGGAAACAATAAATTGTTCTAATAGATGCTGGCTTATTCTATGGAGAAAGTAATGTAAAGACCTATCTTATCTTATATACAAGTTGGACTCCAGATGTTATTTATGATCTTTATCTGAAAGGTAATAATATAAAGCATATAATAGAAAATGTAGGATAAAAATCTTTGCAACTCTAGATAGACAAAATTTTTTCTTAAAATTCTAAAAGAGTATAAACTTTTTTTTTTTAAGATTTTTTCTTTGATGTGGATCATCTTTAAAGTCTTCATTGAACTTGTTACAGTACTGCTTCTGTTCTGGTGTCTTGATCACAAGGCATTCGGGATCGCAGCTCCCCACCCAGGGAACGAAACCGCACCCTCCCCCCAACCCTGCATTAGAAGGCAAAGTCCCAATCACTGGACTGAAAGGGAAGTCCCCCAAAAAGTATAAATTTTAAGGTTAAATAAAGGAGCAGATGACTTGACAAAAGTCACCGTTTTTAAACAAAATTATGTATCCGTGGACAAAGTCAATGGTTAGATGAGTAGATAAGAGGCTACGAAATGATAACCAAAACATTTAAAATCAACATTTGACTAATATATAGGGTAGAATGTATATAACACTCTGTATATCAACAAAAAAGGAGCAGAAAATTAAACGGAAAATGAGCAAAGTGAGCAGGCTGTTCAGAGGAGAACCCTGCATAAATATGGGAAAAGAGGTTCATAAATCACTACTTATCAGAGAACTGAAAATAATGACAGCATAAACTACTAGTATGTGGTAACGAGATTGGTGAAAAAAGGGAAAATCATAGTACCAAATATTGGTGGAGATGTTCACTGGGTAAGAATATAAATTGTGATTGCCAGTTTGAGAAAAATCTTAATAGAATTTAGTTAAATTAGGTGTCTGTTTCCTTATGTCCTAGCAATCATAGCTAAAAAATTATTGCACAAATTTATAAAATGACATGTAGAAGGGCATTCATCACAATGCTGTTAGTGGTGGTAAGAAGCCATTCATCCATTGGTTGGAGGGATAGGTAAATAATATACACACACTAGTAATCAGGACGCCTTAAGAAATGAACTAGACATAGTATTGAAATAAAAAAGTAATGTAGAGAAGGAAATCTATAGCTGGATGATCATGCATCCTGGTTTGTCTAGACACTCCAAATTTATACCTGTTGTCCCAGCATAACTATTAATAGCACTATCTTTCATTCTCAGTAGTTGAGACAATATATTATATGGTCATCCTATCTGTATCATAACACCGTTTTGTGAATGTTAAATTGCAAAAACATCGAAACAACACGACCTATTTTTTGCTAGATACAGATTTCAAGGTATTTATTGGAGGAGGGAAATATATTAGGAAGATAAAGAGGGTGAGAAAATAAAAGAATGACACTGCACTGTGCACCTGAATATGATTAACTTTGCTCTCTGCTGTGAAGTCAAAAATATTAATACTTAACTATAGTTTAAAAAAATTAAACACTTACAGTACTTCTGGTACTAAAAATGTCATAGTTTGGGCTGTTACTGTAATACCTGCAGAGGAAAATGTCAAATGTGAATATTAAAACTACGTCTCCTCCAAATAAAAGGGATTTTAATACGTGGTCAAGAGCTCCCCTGGTGGCTCATCAGTAAAGAATCTGTCTGCCAATGCAGGAGACAAGCATTTGATCCCTGGACCGGGCAGATCCCCTGGAGAAGGAAATGGCAACTCACTACAGTATTCTTGCCTAGGATATCCCATGGAAAGAGCAGCCAGATGGGCTACAATCCATGGGGTTGTAAACAGTCAGACACAATTGAATGACTAAACAACAATATATGGTCAGAGCAAGCCTAACCCTTGTGGGCTGCCACGAGCTTTACATTTCTGCTCAAGCTCCTTCTTAGAAAGTGTAGTCAGAGCTAAAACTGGGGACATCAGTGACATCAACCCCCAACTCAAGGTGTGTTCAAGGTTACTTAGTATCTGAAGACACAATAGTGAGAAGTAAATACTTTTGCATCTTGTTTTTGTTTTAGAATAAAAACTGTTGAAGAATATTGGCTCTAACTCCTTCACATATAAACTCCGTTCATATAGAATGAATACAGATTGAAAGAAAAAAAAACAGTATTTCTTATTTGAAACACTGAAGTAAAGAGCAAATTTTTGTGAGTTGTAGTTATTATCATTTCTATTATTCAGGGTACTTTAATTTCTGTCTATATGAAATATAGACAATAAAAATACAATATGAGTCACCTATAAAAATGAAATTTTTCTGGTGGCCACACTAAAAAAGCAAGAAAAAACAAGTAAAATTGCTTCTAATAATATATTTTATTCAAAAGTAACCTCATTTGTACAGTGCCAACTCACTGGAAAAGACCCTGAGGATGGAAAAGATTGAAGGCAAGAGGAGAAGGGGATGACAGAGGATCGACTGTTGGATGGCATCACTGGGTATTGAATGAGTTTGAGCAAACTCTGGGAGACTGTGAAGGACAGAGAAGCCTGGCGTGCTGCAGTCCATGGGGTCACAAAGAGTCGGACACGACTGAGCGACTTCACTTTCACTTTCATCTGTATTTTAACCTGTGATGAAAATGTAAAATATTTTGATACACTTTCCAATCCAGCAGCCACCTAATGCTGACCAAAAAACTTACATGGAGGATCCCTCAGAACTTTAAATAAAATTTTCCTTCTTCATTATCAACCCACTTTCTGCGGGAATTACATATTCTTACTTTGTGCACATTTTTAAAGCACCCTCTCACAAATCATTCAACCAAACTGCCTAACATAAACCATCAACTACCTAGTGAAGCTTGGTGAAGCGCCCCACTCTCATTCCTGGGGGAGATTCTGGTGCTCTCTGTGCTCCCTGGCAAAAGGGTTCAGAGCGGGATTCGCCATCCAGGAAACCGACACGGGAAAGTAACGCGAAACTACGGCGGGAACTTGAGGAGACGGCTAAACCCTAATTTGCTGTTGTTTGTTGTTTAGTCGCTAAGTCGTGTGCGACTATTTGCGACCCCCTGGACTATAACCCATCAGGCTCCTGTGTCCATGAGATTTCCCAGGCAAGAAGACTTAAGTGGTTGCCATTTGGTTGCCATTCCCTTCTCCAGTGCGTGCCCTCGTTTCCCACCCTCATTCCCTGAAAACAGTGAACGGGCGGCGGGGAGCCGGTGTTGGCGCCAGAACGAGGAACGAGGCTGCGGTCCACCGGGGCGCCAGGTCCCGGGACGCCAGGCCCCGGGATGCTAAGGCGCAGGGATATGGCCCTGCCAGCCCAGCCCCAGGGACGCCCAGCCCCAGGGACGCCCCCTCCCGCGACTGGCGTATCTCTACCTCCACAGGGCCGAGCCGCAACAGCTCAGCCAGGACAGCAGCACCGCCACGCCTGAGGCGGACATGGCGCCGGATCGCCACTACCCATCCGCCCTTCGCCAGGCGCTGGCGTGTGCGCATGCGTGCAATCGCGCGCAGAGGCCGAGGCTCCCCGGTTAGTTACTGGAGGAGAAACTATAAATCAGATTTTAGGAAAAGCAACACAGTGCTTTTATGGAATGAAGTAGCATAACCACTTAGGAAAATGGGAATTGATTGGATGAAGGTGAAACTTTTAAGCTAGTGGATCGTTTAGCCCAAATCTTCATTGTGACAGCATTTAATCACTGCAATAGCTGTTACATACCTAGCAGTACCCTCTCTGTTCCAGGAAGCAGGCACTCGGTAAGTGATTTTAAAATTGAACAGAAATGAATAGTAACGTGTGCTTATTGAACATCTGCTTTATGCCCAACACTACCTCGTGCACTTGAGTACAAAGAAATAGGATAGCATTCTGATTTGCAAAGGGATTTGCAATCTTGTAGTAAAGCCAAAATAAACAACAAAGCTATCACAGTGTTATAATCTGTTTACTTGTACCCCAAATAATTTACATCCTTGAGGACAACAGTTGTATATTTAGTCGTCGTCTTTATTTTATCGTGCCCAGCATAATCCTGTTTTCTAGTAGGTTCTCAGTGTTTACTGACTTAATGAATCACTGAATAAAAGTTGTAAAGTTTGTTCCAGGGACTATTAGATTGTCTATATACAAATGATTTGAGAGATACTACATTTTATGTGATTTTATTCCCAGTTTCTTGCGAATCAAATTTATATCAGAACTAGATGTCATAGTTAATATGTGTTGCAGTTGAAAGAGCATTTGATCAGCAGTAGGTATCATCAAACACAAAAATAAAGCAGCTAATTATTTTATCAGCAAAATGGGTTTATTTGGGAATAGAGAATTGCAATTTGGGCAGGCAAACTTTGGTGAATCATGGACAAATTTGGAGAACAAAGGAGAAAGGACCTGCTTTTATTAGGTTTTAGGAGAAAATGCATGAGTTGTTTTGAACAAATGTTCACTGGAGAAGAGCCAGGGTCGGATGTTATGCAGTTTCTCTTTGGATGTAAGTGGTAGTGCATTGCTGGTAGGTCAGGGAGTAGTCTTCCTTTTTCTTAAAAGCAAGAGATAAAATTGCTCTGTGAAAAATATCTTCCCTTATACCAGAAGAAAAGTAATATTCTTATCTTCCTTCTTGCTGCTGGTTATACAGACTGCACAAGTGGCAAGTGGGTGAGAGCTCCCTTTTCAAGACTTCCTGACTCCATTTAAGATGACGTTTCCTTTATTTATTTTCATACACATCCGCTATTTATTTTCACATCGCAACTCCAGCACTGTTGTAGACACATCAAAACTCAGAAGGAAAGGTCCATGGTTAACTCTAATTTGGAAGCAATCTAAGGAATCTGATAAGTCTGCATCCTTTCGATATATATACTATTTTCCCCACCACATAACAGTTAAATGACATGGAATTGCTGGGCAAGAGGAGTGAGGTGGGGGGCAGTGCACAAAATAAGATGGAGTGACTTTGTGGGAACAAGAATGTCCTGTTCTTGCAGCAGCAAAGAATCAAGGTAAACAGAGACACCAGGACCATGCCTCAGCTATTCGTTCTTGAGCCAGGGCCAAGGCGGTACAGGCAGTACCTGCTTTCAAATGACTGATTACTTACAATTGGTGGTTACCTTATTATAGTTGCCCAAGTTGGGTGAGCTCACTTTCTGTTGAAAGCCCTATTGTTTTATCTTGAACTTTACCTGCCCTTTGACTGGGGCAACTTCTCCCTAAAACGGAACTCCCATAGCCACCCAACTCCTATTTCACATCTCATACCACAGCTTGTTCAGGACAAAGTGGGAGGAAAAGATAACGTATAAACCTGTGGGAACTGATCACTCCCCCCTCACCTCCTTACAGACATAAGTCTCCAGCCCACATTTCATACCCTCACTAGTTCCCCCAGGTCACAGTTCCATCCTGGCCCCTAATCTGAAATAGATTGTCTGGGGTCACTAGGGACCCTGCACTAGTTGTGACAGAGGATATATTCCTAGCATATCAAATGAGAATTGTTTGTCATAATCTTGTGTTTGGGGTTCATATAGTTTATGTCATAGGCTACAAACTACTCATGGATGACATTGTTTCCATACATTTCAACAGACATGAAATGAGTTTTAGTGGACACTTCTGTCACTTAACCCTAAATTCTGATAGTTAGACACATTTGGGAATCCTTGATCATTGAATTGAAAGATTGGCACCACTGATGTTAACACCTTTATTTTCTTACCCTCAGAGGACTTAGCCAAAACATGGCTACATTGATGTACACTCTGCATGATCTTCTACCATGTCTGTTTTCACGTCTTGATCAAACAGCATTAGAAAAAAGTGCAATACCTAATTTCGAACCCACTATTCCTGCATCAGAAATATAATTCACTCTAATCTCTAACTCCATATTTAAAATTTTCATGAATACTTTTAATTAGTCTCCTTAAAATAGCATAACATCCAATGAAGTTTGAATTCCCTTAACAAGTATTTATCAAACTATTAAAATGCGGCAGACATTAAGTCAGGCATAAGACACATAATAGTAAACAGAATATTCTTGGTCCCTACACTTACAGAACTTACCTTTCTTGGAGGTGAGCAAGCAGAATCAAGGGTTTAGTTTTTAAATGTATATAGGTTTAGTAGATAATAGACAAGAAATGTAATCTAATTTTGAAGGATCTAAGAATCTAATGTTGAGGAAGATGAGCTTTTTTTTTAATAGGATCATTCATTGGTTACATTTTTCTAAAACCCATTTTATTATAAAAACATATATTCAGGAAAGTGCACGAAAGATGTGTACGATGCTTAACAATTTGTTACATAATCACTATGCAAATTTTTAAAAAGTGGAACATTATCAGCCTTGCATAAGCCCTCCTTATGCCAAAATTGTTACTCCCACTTTTTGTCATGAATCAAGCATCCATATACGTGGGTCTATTTCTGAGCTATTTTGTTCTGTTAGTCTTTCATCTATCTGTGTGACAAGCTGTGATATCTGTCTAATAGAAGAATCCTCCCCTCTTGTTTTTCTCCATGATTTCTTTGGCTATTGTTAGTCCTTTGCATTTTCATATAGTTTTTAGAATCAGTTTGTTTAATTTTGCTAAAAAAAAAAAGAAAGTTGGGATTTTATTGAGATTTTATTAAATTTATATCTCAATTTGGAGAAAAGTTGACATCTTTACAATATTAGCCAGTAGTAGGCAAACTTTTTTCCTAAAAGACCAGATAACACATATTTCAGGCTTTGTCTCTTAGAGGAAAAACTGAGGGTATTATGTAGACACTTATATAGCCATTTTAAAAGGTGAGAACCATTCTAAGCTTGCAGACTCCTGAATCTCAATAAATCAGAAGCTGTTTTGAATGGATTTTGTCTGTGGACTGCAGTTTTATGACCCAATAAATTTAATAAATTTATTTTCTTTTAATTTTTCTCAGTAATGTATAAGGTTTTGGGTTGCAGTCTTACATATCTGTTAGTTATGAATTCCATTGAATTCTTAATTTTGGTTATTGGATTTTTAAAAAAATTCTAGAATTCACTTGTTTTTTCACACATTCAGGTATCTGCTGAAATTTCCAAACTGTGTATATCTCCTTGAACAGAAAAAGGAGTTACTTTATAGTCTATGTCTGAAAACTTCAATATCACCATCCTCTATGGAACTGTTCCCATTGTCTTTTTTCTGGTTTTTCGTTGTTTCGTATGCCTGACTATATTTTATTCTATTCAAGATATTACAGTAACAAAGTTGTTTGTAGAAACAATTTCAAGTTTAGGATGATATTTTAATCTAGAGAGGGTTTTTGATTGCTTATGCCAAGGGTTTGAGGAAGCTCCCACTCAAGGATCAGTTCAGTTCAGTTACTCAGTCATGCCCGACACTTTGCAACTCCATGGACTGCAGCATGCCAGGCTTCCCTGTCTATCACCAACTCCTGGAGCTTACTCAAACTCATGTCCATTGAGTCGGTGATGCCATCCAACCATCTCATCCTCTCTTGTCCCCTTCTCGTCCCACCTTCAATCTTTCTCTGCATCAGGGCCTTTTCAAATGAGTCAGTTCTTCGCATCAGGTGGCCAGAGTATTGGAGTTTCAGCTTCAGCATCAGTCCTTCCAATGAATATTTAGGACTGATTTCCTTTAGGATGGACTGGTTGAATCTCCTTGCAGTCCAAGGGACTCTCAAGAGTCTTCTCCAGCACCACAGTTCAAAAGCATCAATTAGCTTTCTTTATAGTCCAGCTCTCACATCCATACATGACTACTGGAAAAACCATAGCTGTGACTAGATGGACCTTTGTAGGCAAAATAATGTCTCTGCTTTTTAACATGCTCTCTAGGTTAGTCATAACTTTTTTTCCAAGGAGAAAGCGTCTTTTAATTTCATGGCTGCAGTCACCACTTGCAGTGATTGGGATAACTGGAAGCTGAACTGCAATCCCCTAAGAAAGCCTTTCTCTTTCCGACTTCTGGTTCACCCCTTTTCCTGGGGTATAGAGGGCTTCAAACTAAAGTGAGGGGCATTCACCAGGTCTACTCCTCTTAGACAGGCTCTGTCCCCTACTTTTGGAAGGCTGTCAAAATACCCATCAGCCTCTGAACTGCTTCCTTCAAGTTTGATGAGTGCAGGAAACTCATCAAGTTTGATGAGTGCAGTGGCCCAAAACATTAAGTCCACCTCCTAGGGCCTCTACGTCCTTGGTGATCCTGTTCTATTAATTCTTTTTTTTTTTTTTTGGTCTATTAATTCTTAAAAAAATACGTGCTCTCTGATGCCTGTGGATTTTTAAAATGTTTTCCCCCCCTTTCTAGTTGCCTTAAGTGGGACAGTCAGCCCAATTTTCCTATCCATTCTTACAAGAGCAGAAGTCCTCATTAGTTATATGTTAGAGTTACCTGAGTAGCCTCATTCATATACAACATGGTAACAATATGTAAAACGTCAGTACACC